GGTCCCGGCTGGGCCAGCACCGCTCGCTCCACACATTACGCTGCCGCCGTGACCCCTGCCTCCCCTCCGCAGTTCGGGCCCCAGGGACGCGGACTCCCAGTCCGAGGGCCCCAATCTTCCTCCGCCCCGGGTCTGCCTGGGTGGCATCTCTCCCGCTCCCCGATCTTCCGTCAACTTCTCCTGCCTGTCCCCGGGGGCACGTGTGCTGGCAAGTCCGGTGCCCCTGTATGGTCTCTGTTTCCGAAGCTTCTTGAAAGCCCAGAAAACCTCTCTCGAGGGCCCAGACCGACCCGAACGGAAAAGCTCCCAGGTTTCCCCCAGTATCTGCGCCGGGGGTAGGAATGGGAAATAGGCGCCTCTTTATCCTGCAGTTCACAACCATGGGAACGACACTCCCTCGAAAGAATAAATAAAAGAACGAAAGTCATGTGCAAGGATTGTGCTTGGAGAACAGCCTCTGGGGAGGAGGGGAAGTGCTGGAAACACCTGAGGATCCAAGAATGTTTCCAAACAGAGAGCCCCAGAGCACTTTCTCTAGGGAATTCTGAAGACTTCATCTGCTCCATTAGGGCGTGGGAAGAAGCTGCACACACGGGCCTCATGGCCCCAGAGACCTGCCTGATCCCAACTGATCTTTTAATGCTCCCATGCAGCTGGGGAGCTGCCTCCTGCCTCTGGGAGCCCTGAAATGCTGGGTTGGATTTAGATATCAGTGATGACTGATGGCCACAGCTTCTTCAAAGCAGTCCGGGACCACTTGGTATTACCAGGCCACTCGGTCTGGGCTGTACTGGGGTTAACTGCTCTCTTAAGTCCTAGTTAGTATAGCTGAGACCTTGAATGTCTGCTTGACTCACTGTCCTACTGGCTCTTCCCCAGGGACAAGTGGCTAAGTGGTCTGTCTGGACCTCTGAAGACAGAACCTCTGGTGGACAGATTTCCCACCCCCATCTCAGGCACCTAAACACCAGCAGCTGGAGAGACAGATGGGCATGGGTGTTGGGTGTAAGTCAGGCCCTTCAGGTCAATATTCAAAGCCCTATGTTGCCTTTCCTTCGCCTGTTTTCCCAGCTAGACCCCCAGCTCTGACCACAGATGTCACACCAGGTGTGCCTAACTGTTTCCCTTCAGAGCCATTGCATAGGCTCCTCCCCTTTTTGCTCCACTTTCATCTGGTCCTTTCCCATTCATCCCTCACATCCTAGCTAGGTGTTGCCTCACCCAGGAATCCTTTCCTGACCCATTGGCACTCCCAAGAACCTGACTGTGGCTCTTTGAGGACAAGGATATTTGTGTTCCTAGAGCTAAATCTCACTAGGTTTTTGCGCTTGGAAAACACAGGCTTGAATTAAAATGGGCCAGGCTCGGATCTTTCTCAGTGGCAGGTCAAGTGACTAAGGTGCTTCTGAGTATGTAGCCTGAGCAGGCTGCCTGATGCAAACCCGGCTGTCCCAGTGTGGTAGTGGCTTGCCCAGGGAGTGGCTCATTCTGTCTAGGCCCCTCATAGAGGGTGGAGGCCCTAATTGACCTGTCTGCCTACTCTTGGCCCCTGTCTTGGTGCCATTCTTACCGACTCTTTTCCTCTTGCCTTTGAGGTGCCAAGCGCTGGTTTGTGGATACCTGGGCTGGTCTGCAGTGCCTAATGCCATGAGCGTGGTGGCGCAGCATGTGGAGGAGAAAGCCGTTCACTCCTGGTCGCGCATCTCCACGGCAGGGAAGAAGGCCCTGGAAGAGGCGTTGCTTGTTTTTAATCCCATGAGCCAAGATCTCAGTGCCACAGAGGCCCAGCTTGTGGCCTTCCTGCAGGGTCTGCGCGATGATGGCTTTCAACCTACCATCCTGCGCAGCGGTGACGTCTATGGCTATAGTTCATGCACAGCCAACCCCCCAAGCCAGACAAAGCTGCAAGCTCGTGCCCCTGACCCAGCTGCTGCGTCACCTCCAGCCAGTGCTCCCAGAACTGCCATGCTACCTGCAGGCCAGGCCACATTGCTCCCTATGCCGTTGTCTGGCAGACTGGCCAAAGCGTCCACACCAGCACTCACCAAGCATGCTACCACCAACCTGCTGCTGAGTTCCCTGAAGCAGTCAAGTGCCAGTCGTGCCCGGGGTGCAGCAGTGGGCTTCCCCACCCACCTGTATCCAGGTGTCTACCCTGCCATGCGTCTCTCTGTTGTCCTTGAGGCCCTGGTTCCACTCAAGACTCCCATGCCCTGCTTGGGTTCCAAGCACAAGGCACAGTCACTGCAGCTCTCACTTGCGGAATCTCCTCTGAAACTGCGGAAGGGTTCAGAGAAGGGTTCAGGAGACCCCCAGCCCAAAGCTCCTAGAAAAACTACAAGCAAGGGCCCCAACTGTTTGACTCACAGAGGCCTTGGGGCTGGACCCCAACCAGGCCTTGGGCCCCAGAGCAAGATCTACAAAGCCACTGGGTCACTCGGTGACCTGCGGATGAAAAGGGGCTCTTCCTTGGGCACAAAAACAGCCCAGGCCAAGGTGGCTAGGACACTGGCCAAAGCTGCCTGTGCCCAGGCCCAGGTGGCTCGAACACAGGCCAAGGCTGCCAAAGCCCAGGCTAAAGCCAAGGCAGCACAAGTCAAGGCCAAGACAGTGGCAGCACGAGCCAAGGCTAAGGCCAAAGCAGTGCGGGCCAAGGCCACAGCAGTGCGGGCTAAGACCAAGGCCAAGGCCACAGCAGTGCAGGCCAAGGCCAAGGCCACACCAGTACAAGCCAAGGCTAAGGTCAAGGCCAAAGCAGTGCAGGTCAAGGCCAAAGCAGTGCGGGTCAAGGCCAAAGCAGTGTGGGTTGAGGCCAAGGCCACAGCAGTGCAGGTCGAGGCCAAGGCCACAGCAGTGCAGGTTGAGGCCAAGACCAAAGCTGTGCAGGCCAAGGCCAAGACCAAAGCAGTGTGGGTTGAGGCCAAAACTGTACGGGCCAAGGCCAGGGCAGTACGGGCCAAGGCCAAAACTGTACGGGCCAAGACCAGGGCAGTACGGGCCAAGGCCAAAACTGTACGGGCCAAGACCAGGGCAGTACGGGCCAAGGCCAAAACTGTACGGGCCAAGGCCGGGGCAGTACGAGCCAAAGCTAAATCAGCACAGGCCAAGGTGACTTGGACCCAGCCCAGAGGCAGGGGCAGGCCAAAGGGGTCTATTCAGGCCAGGACTGCAAGGAAGGGCCAGAAAACCTGCCCTGAGACAGCGGGGCGGAAGAGGAAAAGGGCTGAGGAGGCAAAGGATCTTCCTTCCAAGAAGCGAACACGGCTTGGGCCCCGGTCTCCCAAGGCGTGGCTAGGGCCTGGAACAGCGAAGCTGCTCGAGTGCCGAGCCATCAAGGTAGATGAACGGTTCTCGGACGATGAGGTGCGGCAGCGGGCTCAGCGGATCTTCCGGGTGAACCTGTCTCCCATCATACGGCTCCAGCCTTTGCTGCATACTCAGCGCCCTGATTCTCACGGCAGTATTTGGGGAGACTGAACCCAGGTGTCTGGCCAGTGGCACAGCGTGCCGTACCCGTGAACTCTGCAACCTCAAGGACTCCGGGTGCCTCCCCAGGGTCCTGGCAGCCACCAGCCTCCTTCCAGAACCTGGAGGATGTGGTGCGGGGTGGGTGGGTGAGCGGGAGGGGTGTTCTCATGGCGCAATGCACTGTGACTTGTCCTTCAAGTTGTATGTCCACTGTTCCATCGATCATGTTTTATACCTTTCCACCTGCCAGTCTCCCTGCCCACCCTCCATGGTCTGTGTGTGTGTGTGTGTGTGTGTGTGTGTGTGTGTGTGGCTGCCGGTAGGTCGGCTTGAGCATATTGGGAACATGGCCTCAAGAACAGGCCTGCCAGAGGCTCCTAGTACGCGGGGGCAGGTCACCCACGTGAGTGATGGGGTGGAGCTGTGGGAAGGGTGGCAGCCTGGCTCTTCCAGAGAGGTGAGTGGAAACGCCTGGCTTCTGCGGTAGCGTGACAGACATCCTGGGAGGGCAGGCGCAGAGCCACTGAGTTAGGACACCTCCCCTGGCGGCCCTGTGTTGCCCTGTTATCCCGCAGGCCCCAAGCAGGAGGACAGCAGGCAGCTCCAGGCTTTTAGGCCAGGGAAGGGAGCCTTTGTGGTGCTACTCCCTGGGAGCCAAGCAGACAGCCCCAGCTGCAACCACGGAGGTTGGAGGTTCGCCTGGGCTTGTCTGATGTGGGGCCAGGCCAGGGGTTGAGGTGCTTCCTTCCCTCTGCCCTGCTGGGAGAGTGCTGGGTGACTAGAGAGGGGGTGTGGTCAGGACCCCAGACTGGTCTGCAGATGAGAGAGCTTTGTTGGCTGGGTAGAGTACCTGTGGTGGGTTCTGGGGAGGGGCCACGGCCACCTTGGCAGTAATTGCCACCGCCTCCTGCTCCCCGTATGATCTAGAAGTCAACCGACCTGCCTGCTTTGGGAAAGAGGCAGGGCCAGGTGGGATGGCTGGCTGGCTGAGTGGGGGCCGTATTTCTCAGAGGCTCCCAGAGATGAACAGCCCTTCAGAACTGGGGGTGGGAGCATCTTTTGAATGAGAATTGGGTCGTTTCTGTCTCTGGGTTTGTCTGGGCGCTGCTTGCACCAGCTGCCCTGGGAGGTGGACCTATGGAGAATGTGCTGTCCCATGTCCCCTCCTGCCTCTGGTGAGTGTGCATCTCCCCTTGGTGTCCCAAGCTCCGAGGGCCCCTTGCTCCCAGCTGTGTTGGGGTCCCCACCTGTGTATGCTGTTGTCTGGCAGCTCTTCTCTGACCCACGATGTGCGGACGGGGCATGGCGAGGGCCATACAGCTCCCTAATGGTGGCCAAGCGCGGGGCCATGCCGCATCCTCCATCCCAGGCCCGATTCGGACTCTGGGTGCCCAGGACTTCCAGCCAAGTTGGATCCCCTCCTCCCAGTTCTGTTGCTGTTGCCAGCAGTGGGCGAGGTGGGCGCTTTCCCAGAGAGCAAGCCGGAGGGAGAGGGGAAATGCCTTCTCATAGGGTGGGCTGTTAGCCCCAGGATCCTACACAGACCCTGCCCCCAACCCAGGCCAGGCACCTAGAACAGTTGCCCAGGAGGTGCCAGATAGGCTTCCCCGACCTGGCTGCTCAAGTGGCAGTCGCTACCCACCCACCCGCAACCTGATTGCTGGCCAGAGCCAGGGCCTTGGAATTTCATCTACCCGGCGCCTCCATTGTCCCAGCGCTACAGCATTTTCAGTCACCTGCAGATGGGGAGGGGGCGAGGACTCTGGATGCTAGTGTCGGCTTGTGGAAATGGTGTCTGGGTTGTCCTGGGCAAGTTCAGCCCTGCCGGGGGCTGGAGGGAGAGGCCTGTGCTGTCAGATTCTGGAGTGGGGATCTGACCGTGACCTCCTGACTAGTCTCCCTGGGCCCTCCCTCAGTTGCTTTCTCTGTGATTCTCAGGACCAGGGAGGCTACGATATTAAGAATGTGACCCCCCCCCCAGAGAGGCCATGGCAGCAACAAGACCTGGCGGTAGGCAGACAGTGGTGCGGGTGCCAGCATGGTACACCTGTGTGCGGGTCCAGGGTCAGCCTGTCCCCATCATGGCTGCAGTGGTCGGCCTCTCGCCAAACCTGGAGGCTGCCTTCTACTTCATCCACCTGGTCATGACTCTCAGGGTGATCCAGGGCCCCACCTCCCAACCTCGTGGCCACCAGTGATGCTTGCCCTGGTGACACAAGGGTCCTGGCAGTCCCCAGACACTCGCAGCAGGCTGGCTGCTCCTGGCATGCGTACCAGCACTTGGCTGCTCAGGCCTCTTTCCTGGGATCGCTCTTGTTCCCGGCCACAGTCAGTGACCTCGTCTGTGATCAGCATTGCTCGGACATCGAGCTTTCTCCCGAGGGCAAGGTTAGGACCAGAGGGAGTGGGGTGGGGGAGGCTGGGGTAAAGTTGGAGGCTCCAGCCTACTGCTTCCTCACAGGTCATTTTCAATGTTGTGGACCCAACCTTCTGGGCGGAGGACCCAATCAACCCCACGATTCAGGGTAACGGTTCTCTCAGCCGGTCCTGTACCCTTCATGTGTGAGGACAAACCCAGATACCCACTGGAGGGTGTGAGGCTCTGCCTGGGGGTGCACACTGATGGTGCCAAGCAGACCAGTCAGTTCAGTCCCTCAGGCTCATTCCTGCCACACCATGGTCCCTTACTGTCTCTGCTGGGCCTCCCAGCCGGCCTGTTCTCTGCGCCCCATCTCTGAACCCCTTGGGGGCCCCATCTCCCCTATAACTACCCCCAGTGATTCTCCCGTTTGCGTGTCCCCACCAATTATGGGGTCCCCCCTGTCGTTTACACAGCCTCAGTGGGTGACCTTTGTCCCTGCAGCTGCCTCTAGGTGGCACCAGGACCTCTCTAGATGTGACCTTTTACTTGTGAAGGTCTCCTTAAAGGAGAGAGGGCCACATAACCCTAACTGCAGGGCAGCCTAGAGCCAGGCCCGGAGAGCACCAAAGCAGGACAAACCCCCAGACCAGCTTCTCTGCCTTCACGGGCGTTCCCCACTGTCCGGACTTCGGCTACTACCAGCTGCTCACCCTGGGCCTTCACATTAGGTCTGCAGGCTGCTGCTGGTTCTGCCTCCCACTAGGGAAGGGGGAGAAAGAGCCTGTAACTGCCTTAAGGTGTGGAGCAGAGAGAAGAGCGAGCCGCAGACTGTCCTCTCACCCACGTGGACTGTTAGCGAGCCGCCAGTGAGCCCTGCCCGTGAGCCCTGCCCTACGCCAGCATCTAGGCAATATTTGGCGGGCAGCAGAAATGAAAGTGAAATACAGTGGTAAATGAACAAAATAATACTGTATGCGGCTTGGCTGGTGGGCTGCGGAGTGGAGTCCTTTACTGCACTGGGGAAGTAGGTTTCGGATACCTGGAGGTGCCAGGTTGGGGTGTCCAGGAAGCAGTGGGATGTGCAGGTCTCAGCTTAGGGGTAGCGTCAGGGCTGGGAGAAGCGAGTGCTCAGTGCAGAGGTAGAATTGCCACCATGGAGGAGACAGCGCTCATTCTAGGAAGGTGTCCAGGGGGACGGGGGTGGGAGACTAGCATAGATGCTAGAGGAAGTAAGTGTCTGCAAGGATGCAAAGAGGGGAGACACCCTCCCCCGACCCGACCCTCCACCCTGGACCTAAAGGGGTGGGGACTGTGGTCCTGAGATCTGACACTCTGTCTCCAGAGCTGCTGCATGTGACTAACCTTTGTGTGAATTTCTCCAAGCTGCACACAGTGGGTGACAGCCCCCAGGGTCCCCCAGAAGACACCTCCTCTACCACTGTAAGCTCATGACCAGGGGCAGCTGCCTGTGCCATGGCCATGCGTCTGAGTACAGGCCTGCTCCTGGGGCACTGGCCAATGGGGAAGGAATGGTAAGGACTGCAGGAGGACAGCCTGCAGCTGGCGGGGCGGGGCGGGAAAGGCCAGGGACCAGTACAGATCTGTCTTGCCCTCCTCCGTGCCAGGTGCACGGGCTTTGTGTCTGCCACCACCATGAGTGCTGCCAGGACCTGAACCAGGACCAGCCATGGCATGCAGCAGAGCCCAGGTACCCCCATGCCTTCTGGGGTAGGTGCCATGCTCTACTCTGCTGGCCTTACCTCCTATAGGTCAACCAACCCATAGCTGCCTTTCTGGTTCTACCCAGAATGCAAGTTCCATGGATATGCCTACAGTTGTCACTTTGACATGGACGCGTATCTGTCATCTGACAACGTGAGTGGCGGCATGTGTGATGCGCATCAGCACAGCACGCTAGACGCCGCCGTGAGTCCTTCCGGCCCTTCTTCTACCTGCTCCTCTCAGTCCTGCAGTGTGAGTCTTCCAAGCCCCCATCCTAATTCAGACCCTGATCCCTCAGCTCCGTGGTGACCTCTGACCTAATTCCATCCTTCACCTCTGACCCCTGATCCAGACTGTGACCGTGACCCTGTGGGTGCCCTGGCGGGGTTTGTGATGCTCACATAGATGACACCCAGAGCCGCCTCTCGGCCATGTCGCTACAAAGTCAACGTCTGGGACCAGCATTGTGGCTCTTGCTGGCCTGGTCACTATGGCCCAAGCCCCACCCGCCTACAAACTGCCAGCATGAGTGCCTCTCAGGGTGGGCCCTCCCTCCCATGTCCCCCTTGCTTTGTCCCCGGTCACTGTCCTAACGACACACGCAGCAGTCCATTCACAACCTGAGCACCCTGTGCTTAGCCTGAGCCCTCCCGTGGTTTACACGACTGTGAACACTTGGTCTCCAAACTGGACTGTAGCCATTGTCTGGTGAGCCTTGACCCTGACCTTGGGCGCCGAGTTAGGCACGAACAAATATAAGGCTGTGTCATCGTGACTGTGCAAGGAGCCTTGGACACGGATGGTGGCACTCACTGATGTAGCCATCAGGGTCGGCCCCACCTGGCTAGCCGCATCAGTATGTGCCCTTGAGGAGCTTCAGTAGCAGAAGGGAACGCGACTAGCGTGTTAGGGTAACGTGTTATAGCAGTCTTACACCGTGGTGGGTTTCAAGGAGTTAGAGCAAACGCGTTTGGGGGAAGATGGTGCAAGGAGTAACTCTATCCTCCTCTTTCTCTGAGTGTTACAACCCCCTGGCTCACTTGTTCTTTGACCCTGGCTGTGTCTCCACCTCCTTTTTACCTCCTTCTGTGAAGCTATGCAGCGTTGGTTAGAGGCTCCTACCCTTCTCAGCAGAGGCAGAGCAACAGGCAAGCC